TTATGGGCAAAGCATAAGGTTGCCTTCTTTCGAAAGGGCACGGATGATTATATCTGGCACACTGAAGGAGTAGAGCCAACTGGAACCAATGAACTCAATGGAAATGTGACTCTGACAAAATTGTAGTCGCGGATGCCAATAATGTCACATCACTAAAGAACAACAGCTGATCTCTTGTATGGAAAGCGGCTGCAAATCAACTTTGTCATGGTTGAAAATGATTATAGACTCGATCATGAGCACAACTGCTGACATATTTGAATGGCAGATCGCATCACCTCAGTGAGTTTCAGCACTAGCACATGTATTTAAAGCATTTCAAGATGTTCGACGACGGGATTCTCCAAGACGAAATCATAAGGAATTTGACCGAGTTGGGGTTAGTAAAGTCTCCTTGAGAATAAATAGACATAAAGAAACGTCTGTAAAGGTGTTACTCGATTTTGAAAATGACCATGTTGAATGTGCTTATCATCGTTTGATGACATTCATCTGGCGCGATCAGAATGCGGACTCTGGTTTGCAAATATCTCAGCTGGATTGCTCATTGTTGTATCCGATCTACTACTTCTCTCTAGACAGTCAGTCGTTGACATACACATTCGAGCTTGAGTATGTGCATTGCCAGCCAGTGTTTTTGATTATTGAGTATTCGCTGTTTATACTCTCAGACATAATAATGCTGCTTGAAGGTGAAGGACGAATAAGTCATTGATGCACCTGTAGAAAATCAATAACTAGATCATTGTTGTCATAATTAAATCGCCTATGATATCATAATTTCATATCATCATATTAATGTTATTCTGACTCCTTTTTAAAATAAACAACAATAGTTTGCATTAAAAAAGAATTCTCAAAAAAATGTATGGCTGAAATGAGCATTGATCGAAAGCGATCCGAAGGGGCCCAAATAAACTATAAATGACAGAGCGTCAACTCAAACACTTCAATGACGCCAAACAGTCAAAGACAGACGTCAGATTTGATCTTTCTACGGGTGTTATAAAAGACCTAGAAAAAAGGTGGTAGATTTCCACTTTTGCAGCTGTACTAGCGTTGATAGCCGCTTTAGCTCTAGCTGTTATACAAGCAGCTACAATTGGTGCTGTTAGAACTGCATTAAAGAAAACAACAGGTCACGTAAAAAAGACTTCCAAAGAAAATTAATTTGGTCTAAGACTGCCTGAACTTCCAACGTTGTACGGTCAAACCGCTCGAGGCTCAGGTATGATGCTAACCGAGACACGTCGTTGAATATGTTTCCCATGTCCAATTTTGATTTATTTTATGCTGCTATGAAATTAGAAAGATAAAACTTTTGAGGTATTTTACGCTTAGTCAATTACCAAAACAACCAATCCATGTTGAAACCCATATCAATAATTTCGATGGCAGTTCTGGACCAGTACTCATTAGATTGCTTATACTGTTGACCTACGTGGAATTGTTTATTTTGATTTGTACGGATTGGCGCCACCAAACAAATTTTTTAAATATGTCTGTAGCAGAGTGCAAAGCATTCAACATTTCCATCATAGACACTAATCCGCCAATATGCGACCGTGATGTAATCGATATGCTCGTTGCTGTGTCGACATCGTCGGTAGCACCGCCTCATCAAGTTGTGCGCGAATATACCACTAGACAACATCGTCATCCAACGTTTTAAATAGGTCTTAGTCAATTCGCAATGGCAGACATTTGAGGAAGATTTGATGATGGAAAACCTAATGGTGACTTATCCAAATAGGCAACTCTTGACCATGTCAAGGAAGAACTGGCTATTTTTTTGCGTCTCGCTAATGTGAAGCAAAATGAAGTTGTTTTTACTGGATCAGCAAGGATATTCAAAGCATTGATGTGTCAACAGTCTCTTGTTGAATCACAAAAGTATTATTTCAGGTATGAATTTTGTATAAATTGCAACGAATCCAAGAATTTTATAAGAGCACTTTTGTATTTCCAGAGAAAATAATAACTTGAATTCAATAATTTGCACATAATAAAATTCAGCCCTAACCGGTCACAACATAATATAACTTAAAGTGTTACATGCTAAAGCACGACTGGTAAAATCTTCACAGTAATAAAGATAACACAGTTCTCTGCTTGACCTCAAACACATTATCATTTTCTAAAATCAACCATTGCCTAATAGAAAACAACCCTCTAGAATGGTTTAATGAGTCTTGTTTAGTTATATCACAAAAACCCAGAAAACTTTCTTGGGAATCTCCAAAACCCTGACCCCGATTAACATATTTACCATTCTTGTTTACCTGAATAACAATTTGCTTAATACGCTCATACACACAGAGCATAATAAAACTGTTTTTGTTATATATATATATATATATATATATATATATATATATATATATATATATATATATATATATATATATATACATACATACATACATACATACATACATACATACATACATACATACATACATACATACATACATACATACATACATACATACATACATACATACATACATACATACATACATACATACATACATACATACATACATACATACATACATACATACATATGAAATAAAACAAAATTAAAAAGTCAATCAGGTCAAGCAGAAATGTACTCAGTTTCGGGCAATGTCAAGTACAGCAAATATGATATGATAAATCGGCTTTTAAAAAAAAAAATGTAATGAGTTGTTAGCATCACATCAAAACACATAAACGCAGAATTGGACAACACACACAACGCATGACTCAAGGCACGAGTAATTAATGAGTATAAAAAAATCAGTGAGTAAAAGTGAATTCAATATCTAAGAAAACATAATTTAGGATTATATTCAACAAAAAAAAACTTATAGGGCAGAATTGAAATCTAAATGAATGCAGAAGCACTTAATCAAGACTAAAAAAACTTGATGTAATGCATCTTATGCCTTATTTAAAATAGAAAGGAGCTAACAGTAGGACAATTGATTAGAAACGGACAGATAAACAAAACAAAAGTCAACACAAAAATTAGCTGTCATCATAACCGGTCGGGGTTGGGTATTATTGAAAGATGTTTTATTTGAAGCATTTGCCCTTTCATAACGGAATTACAGATCTAGATGAATTAATATCGAACTGCTCTTAAAATGGTTTGGTAGCTTGTTCCATGGAGTAGCAGCTTAAATTATATTTATTTTGTTTAAAACTTATTAAATTGTTAAAACATTAATGAACATGCTTATTCCGTATTATGAAAGTCTCTAGAGCCATAAATCAAAGTCTGCACATCTTTGTAGTACAAGTCACATGGGTCATGTATGAGCATTACTCATTTTAAATTAAAAATAAATAGTTCTTTTAAAATTTAACTCTTTTCTTTAGCTAAATCTATTCAATCCTGATTATTTAATGCTATGCACCTTAGCTGTCACCAAGAAACATCCCGACGAAAATTATCTTTAGCTATGGACTTTGCAATGGTGACCAATTACTCAACTTGGGTAAAAATAAGAGAGCATCAAGTGGAATCGTCGCAATCGAGAGTAGCATGAATGTATTTATCAATATGCTTAGATTTCATTGTGATATCACACCAAGCCACATTCAGTCCGGATTGTAGTGGATCACACCTTAAGGTTCGGTTCTTCCAAAAATGTCTACGAATTCTAACATTAATTCTGCCGTATGCACCTCTCGCTGCGTTTAAATAATCAAGTATATGAATCCAAATGAAATGAATACTTGCCACTTTAAGGATTTAGAATCAAATTCTGACAAAAACACACATTGCTGAAATAGTCCGTGTTGAATGCCTATATGATCCGTGTGACGTGCTACCGAGTTGGCATGTTTGCCGTTAGTAAAAGCGTATGATAGCTTCTTATAAATTCACCACACACAAATCTCTTGTATTTGCTTAATAATATTCATGTCCCTGTAGAAATTCCAGACTAATACACAAAAATTGAAACTGAAGAGAATAAATGAATATAACAGTTTTAGTTCGCTGAGTCTATATAGCTTATGCCAATATTTTTCAAGACAAATAGTTGCTTTGAAGCTTTCCTGTAGAGTTACATGTGAATCGAATTGTAGATGAATGTTAATGTGTGTCAATTCCAAGCAGTTTAACAATTTCTTTACAATTAAATACAGCACTGCTTATATTTAGTACAGTCTTTATACTGAATGTTTCCTTATCCACTGCTTATCGACTCTGCTTAAGATGTGAAAATCAAAGTTTTAGGATCCGGTGTGGAAAATGACAAAGTTTTATAACTTTATAAACATTTCTAAAATAACATAGAGTCATATCTAAAATAACAGAGGATATTGTTAGCAAATACATTAAAAATCCAAGGATCCCTGTTGAACCAGGTTTTGAATTTCAGATCTTCTACTCATGACATTCTGCAAAGTAATTTGCTGCATACGACTCGACCTACATATCAGTAAGAGCCCTAATTAGTTTTTGTAAAGACACAAACCCTTAACCTGCAAATCAGAATATCATCAGGGCAACATACAACAGTTTTTGGATAAGTCCATCATGACTTCAGATTTGTTTTCACCAACAGCCTTCTTCTAGTCTTCAGGCAAGCGTAAAATGTGGTCTGGCATCCATAGCCTTTATAAAACCATCTTAAATGTTTGCTGAATATGTTCTAAAAAAATGCTGTGTTTCAGTTGTTTTTTTTTTTTCAAAACAGTTTGGACAGGATATGTAAAATGCTTACAAATTTATAATGTTTGTATCATGAGGATAGATATTTCTTAAAATTGAATCTACTTTACCATTTGAAAAATATTTGATTGTATAGCTTTGTATATCAGATCTGTAATACATCCCACAAGGATTAGAGTCCCAGCTTTTAACAATGTAACAGAAAGATGTTTCTCTCTAGTTTTTCACTCATGGTTAACTTGCATGAAATATAAAAAGAATACATGTTATCTTGACTAAGGGTGAATATCATTGAGATTCATTAGTTAATAATTTAGTCACCAGAAGAACCGCTCCGGTGGCTTGGTGGTTACAGCGTCCGCTTTGGATGCGGGATGTCGCAGATTCGAACCCCGGCCGAGTCATTCCAAAGACTTTTAGAAAATGGTTCTAACAACCACCTCCCTTGGTGCTCAACAGTAAGAGGTTAGTGTAAGGAATGGATGGCCTGGTGTTAGGATAATATGACTGGGTAAGACATTATGTCACATGTCTGAAGCATGATACCCCAGTGCTAGACATCACTATAAACTGTCACACTGCACACATCGTAGCGATATCACCGAAATATTTTTAAAGCCACGCTAAAAAATTTAAATCACACAAACACGCACACAATACAGAAGACTAAAAAACATGGAACTAATAAACATAGCAAGGGTGTATAATGCTTTTATCAAATTTGATGTGTTAGTTTGAAAGTTCATACATATATATGCATACATTTAGTCAGTATTCGATAAGTGGAGAACGGTGCATATGTTCCCTTTGGATATATATCTTCTTTAGGCCTTCAGAAAGAGACAAATTTTTATTCTATTATGCGTGTTTCTTCTTTAGATACGGATCAGTTGATGGAAAATCACGGCCATATTTTTCTTTACCCAACAAATAAGCTGCAATTATTAAGCGTGATTTAGCTGTCATGCATAAAAGAAAGTTTGGATCCCGTACCTTGATTCAAATTACTATTTTTGCACCACCTTCCTTAGAAACATTTTACAGATCCTTTATTTATAACAAAAGAAAGATGCCTATTAATTGGGGGTCAAAAGGTCATGGTCAATGTGTATTAAAGAAGGAAAATTGTTTCTGCACAATAATGATAGTTTTACATCATAGATTACGCCGACATTTTGAGGTTGGCTCTAACTTTTAGAAAGGAAGAATCGTTTTGATTTTGCGGCGAAACGTAAAGGTCATTTACTAAAAGAAGAAAATAAAGAAATCTTTGCACAATTTTTGTATTAGTGTTACAGGACGCTTGCATTTTTATAAACGTAAAAACCTTGATAAAATGTTACATATATAAATAATTTTGAAAAGTATTTAGCATCGTTTAAGTATCACACACACACACACACACACATATATATATATATATATATATATATATATATATATATATATATATATATATATATATATATATATATATATATATATTGTAGCAGACGTCATAGTGTAAAAATTTACGAGACTTTATGACAACATGTATTAATTTCGTAAAACCTAATTTCTATACAGAGGGATTTAGTAAGCTGAGATAGGAATAATTATTTGATATAGGTATATGGTTTGTGATTTATAGTGCATTGCGTTAAGTACTATTATGCGGTTCGAAAAGACTTACTAGTGGATCATACAATGTGAAACAAGAAAACCAAACAAATTTGAAATTAGAGTTTATTAGAGTGTGTAGTCATTAGTTGATTATAGAAAAGTTGCTGTTTTGAGGTCCTTGAAAATAGTGGAAAACAAAACCTGTCAACTCACGCCATTTGTTTGGTTAGTTTGGTATGGTATGATAACGTTTGCGTGTAACTTTGTGATAAGCCCCCTTAAGACAACCATAATGATATGAAGTAATATCCAGCATAAATTCGCTATCTTAAGTCATATCAACTTCCTTGCATAATATATACGGTTTTTAAGAAAGCGTCTAGTGTGACTCTGTACTAAGAATTCGTACTTTCCATATACAATGTCAAGGTAGAAACACTTTGAGAAAATTTGTCCTCTAAATGTGAAGGAGTTGCTTCCCTTACATCACTGGCGAATGCGATAACAACGCCATTTAAATTTCCCAAATTTCTTTAAAAATAGTATTGGCGGTCTAAAGCTTTGTGCTGGTAAAGTCGTTGTATATCAGAGACACGTAAGAAACTTTTGAGGATTTGTTCTCGTTATCGTCCGTTTATGTGAATTTTAATCACAAGAAATAATTTTGCTTTTTAAAATAGCTTTGACGAGCTTACCATCTGTATGCCGTTTCAAAACGAGACCATCAATTGCAATCTCTATGAAACTATGTAATTCCAACAAATATACAGTCAACGGATAATGATACGGCCTTCTTATAAACTTTCACTCTAGTCAAGGACCATGCCATGCAATATTTAGGAGTTGGAGCTGGACGTTTAGAAATAAAATACAATTCAAGCCCGCAAATTGCTTGAAAAAGAATATTCTTCTCCTGATTTACAGCCAAACATGTATTATATCCATTGCTAAATTATTTATCTTGTGGCCAAATGAAAAAAAGATTATCCCGACTTGAAATAAATCCCATCGCTTCTGACTTCCTTCAAAAATGAAATCGTACGACATCAGCAAACGTGTCCTTGGAGTTAGGAAAATGACTTGTCACGTGTCATCAAAATAGCAAGAAGAAAGTACAACAACATAGATAAAGAAGCAACATATTGACTTAAATTAATTATTTATTGTGGTATAGGTCTTTGAAACCGGGTATATGACTGCTTATACTCAAGACACTATCAATTCAATATATAGTAAAGGATATATCTTCAAAGGTTCAAAATTGTATGAAGATACGTAAGGGGGAGGTCTCTGATAACATTATCCCTTCATGTTCTCTAGAAGCAAGGAACATGGATATGGTTTGAGGACGCCCACCGTAGATTACGTATAATTAGTGCAGATTTCATTAAAGTATATTTAGTAGTTCAAACACTTGTATTCCAGACAAGGATAGAAATAACACAATTATATTTTCTCTTGCCGTGACTTTGGACGCAATGCAGACGTCATGGATAACAAAGCATGATATATGCTAAAAGTTTCACGAAATTCTTTCCAAACAATTATGAACCTCTCAAACCGTTACAAAGCATAGACCAGACAAGCAAATTCAGATTATACTATACCCGACTCAAGATGGGCGTACTACACGTTTTGATTTTGATTAAATTAACCAAGAATATTCATGAACTTTCCAAAATTTAGTTATTTATATCTTTCCAAGCACTTGTAAGGAAGTAAAATAAACCTCAACATATATTATTTCATTACAAATCTTTGTACCTTACCTGTCAACTCCAAAATATATTATTCCATTCCAGAAGCTTGCACCTAACCTGTCAACCCCATAATACATTATTTCATTCCAGGATCGTGTATCTAATCTGTCAAACCCCGAATATGTTATTCTATTCAAGAATATTGTACCTAACTAGACTACTACTTTTATTTCTTATTAATGTAAACATTCATGACTACAATTTAAGTTGGATGGCATAGGACCAGACTGCTGTGGCATAAACGTATGATCATTTTTGATGCCCAAAACAAATGAATACTTTTAACATAGATTGAAACGACGCCAAAGCCTTGCACTAGAATCGACATATTATCCACTCAAATGGTCAAAAAACATACCATCCTTGTTAGGTCTATCCATGCTAACGTACTGACAAAGTTATACTCATCACAAACACTTCAACATTTCAAGACGTATTAAAGAAAAAGACAGATACATCTATAAGATTTCAAATGAACAAATATTGACAAATGTGTCAATTACTGACATACTGAATCGACTAAGTTTCAAAAGATTCGTGTTTAGGCGACCAAATTAAATACGTCAAGCAATGAAACCACAATAATATGGCATTAAACTAAGCGACGTCTTGTGGCGACGACAAATATGAAGAATGTCTTCGAAATGTACAGGTTTCATGCTTTTCGTAGCACATTATATGTAGATTACGATTTCAATTTTCCGGCAAACTTTACCACAACAAAATTTCAGAAATGTATATTAACATTCATGACGATTTAGAATGTACAAAATTATCGCCAGCATTGACTCTCTTGACTGAGGCGAGGTGTGTTATTATGTGTGATGTTATCCTAGAGAGAGCTATGTAAAAGTGCATCAGTCGTGTAGTAAGTTCATGTAAAGATGGCAAATTTTAAAAAGTACACGGTCATATTTTGTGATCATAGAAAGAAAAAGATGACTTTGTATGTTGATTTACATTGTTAAATGGACGATGACGCAGCAAATCGGAATATGCTGACTATGATATATCAAGCGACGTGTTAGGAAGCGTTCTCCACGTAGGTCATACTAGTCATTAAAATTTTATCCAAGTTTGTCTTTCTGATAATTATATTTTTTTTCAAAGCATATTTCAAATGCTGGCAAATTTTGAACAATGATTTGAAATCTAATTGAGGCAGCTCTAGAAGGAAAATGAGACGTGGAGAGGGAAAAAGGGATATTAAAATATAGGTTATTCCCGTTCAAAAGGTGTAAATATTTGAACAAAATGTGCATATATTTATTACACCTTTGCTTTCTTGGTTAATGATGAAAAAAATAAGAACAGCTAATATAGAGTAAAAGGTGGAGAATTAGTGTTATGGTATAAGGGATTACATTTTGGCGTGAGGGGATGTACTATTTCAAAGAAAACGCAAGCTATGTACGAAGGTTTAAATATCGACAACTGAATCTAAAATTGTAAACTTTCTAGAGAGCAGTAAAATGAGGTACTAATTACGCCTTCGTGCATTTGCAACCCATTTATGTATTCTTTACTCACCCACTGAAAAATAAAAACAGAAAAGTTGTTGGCTATAGGAAAACATTATGTGACAAATAATCTTGTCAAAAATTTATTATTCAACAAGCTCCGAGTGTAAAAATAACGTTCATGTTCAATTAGTATCAACTCATAATATAAAATTATATTCAAACAACGTTAGCATATTAATATTAATGATGCGATTTAAACTTTTATTTTTCAAAACCATCTCCAGTACATGCATTATATCGTGCGATCATTCATGTTAGAAATTGATAAACTTTAGGCACTACACACTGATGTAATCTGAAATTTTGAAATAAATTTGATAAGACTTGATTTGAACATTAATGAAAAAATCAACATATGTTAATACATTATATATGAATAATTGTACATATTCACTGTTTTTGTTTTTTTATTAAATGCACAAAATTTAGTCAGTATCCACAATCGTACAGTTACAACATCCTTGGTTTTCCTATACGAATATTGCAGTTTTTAATTTACAATCCTTATTCAGTATTATG